TTCAAAAGATTACTTTTTTCAGTTATCACTTTAATTTTGATGTTTAATTTACATAATATTTCTAACATTTATCTACAGAGAGAGAGAGAGAGAGGATAATTTATTGAATATATTTTTGCTCTCTCTCTCTCTCTCTCTCTCTCTCTCTCTCTCTCTCTCTCTTAGGTATTCATTTGATTCATTTTTTATCTATGTCTAAGACATATATCTTTTGTTAAATGCATGCGTATAAATGTATATTTTTGATAAAGACAATTTGTTATTTTCTTAGATGTATTTATGATTTAGGCATCATTGTTTAATTTTTTAATTGATGTGCTGGGAGTTTATATTTGGAAATAAATCGTTTTATTTGAATTTTGGAAAGAGCACTACTGTGTTTGTAATTTCCCAAACTTGACATCTCTCTATTCATACCATTGTATCGATGTTATTTAAGGAATGAAGCTTATTTCAACTTATGTTATACGATATAACATAACTTGGGGCAGTTTACGCTTTATAAACATAAGTTGAAATAAGCTTCATTCCTTATAATTTAATTTCAGTATATACAATGATACAATTTTTCCACCGAAAAAAGGTTTTGAATATAGTATATTTTAAAAGTAATGTCAAGCGGAGTAATACGTTTTTGACGTAACTCATTGTGACGTTGGCAAGTTATGTTATACAAATTATTATATGTTCCTCTGATTGATTCAGCCAATGATATTGCTTGATACAAGTGAAATTAAATTATTAGCTCATAATTGTTATCAGATTGATGATCTTAGACTGGTGTTTTTTTGAATTTGTAAAGTTTACTCAAACTGTTTTCTGTGTTATAAGTTAATATCGTTGAGCTTTCCCCTAACTTTACTACTGTCATTAAACTTGCTTCATTGGTTCATTTATGAAAAGTTGTCAAAGATTAGACGTGTGTTAGTTTGTCTGTAATTCACTCTGTTTTTTTGGAAATTTTGTTCTAAAATGTTTTTTTTTTTTTTTTTTTTTTTTTTTTTTTTGTATTTTTGGACTTTAATAAATTGTAAACCTTAACCATGAATTATTATTTCAACATTCTGATTATCATTTCAAAAACAATATGACTATTACACTTTTTCATGAACTAGGCATCGCATTTTTAGAAAAAAAATACCCGAGCTAGGTAAAGTCATTAATCTCAACTCATTTAACTGACATCAAAAATAGTATTTGCTTTTAGCACTTCGACTTTGATAAGCTTTATAAGAATCGAAGCTTACTGATCAGAAATTTCCGAAATCCAATGAGTTAAATTCCTTTGTTTATTTCCCGCCATGATGAAAACAATACATCGAGAGTCTCAGGATACAAATATCTTTTCTTCGAATTTTAATTGCTGGTGATGTCGCCACAAATCCAGGACCAATAAAATTCCCTTGTTCTGTGAGTCAAATACAAACCAGAAACAAGATGTGTTTGTGATACACTATGCGCCCGGCGGCAACAAATTTAAAAAATATATTTTTAGCATAAAGGTCACAGTCAAGGTCACAAAGTCATTCATCTTGGTGTCATTTGAAAGATTTTGATTAGTGAAGTATGCATGCCAAATATGAAGTCTCTAGCTTTCATGGTTCAAAAGTTATGGTGAAGGTTCAAAAAAGCTATTTTTAGCATATAAGACACAGTCAAGGTGACAATCATTAATCTTGGTGTCATGTGAAAGGGCTTCATTAGTAAAGTATGCATGCCAAATATAAAGTCTCTATCTTTCTTCGTTCAAAGGTTATGGCCAAGGTTAAAGTTTGCCATCAAAAAATCTATATTTAGCGTATAGGTCACAGTCAAGGTCACAAGGTCATAGACTATGGTGTCTTTTGAAAACACTTAATAAGGTTTGTATGTATACCAAATATGAAGTCTCTATCTTTTATGGTTCAAAAGTTATGACAAAGGTTAAAGTTGGCAAAAAATCCCTATTTTTAGCATATAGGTCATAGTCAAGGTCACAAGGTCATTGATCTTGGTGTCATTTGAAAGAGCTTTATTGGTGGAGTGAGCATACTAAATATGAAGTCTCAACCATTCATGGTTCAAAAGTTATGGCGAAGGTTAAAGTTTGCAGACAAACACGCAGACAGACAGACAGACAGATAGGACAAAAACAATATACGCCTCGGATCTTGCGATCCGGGCGCATAAAAATCAAAAAGTACTGATCTGTGCATTATGCAGTTCTAAATGTCATTTAAAATGCGTGACATCTAAGCATGGGATCAATCTAGGGATGATCAGTCAATGGTCATGGAGTACGTGTACAAACAATTTCCCATATTCATCCTCAACGACTGCAGATGCTGTAGATCCCGTATCCGCAACACAGTTAAGGTTACAAATGGATATATCGGCGATTTTTTAAGATAAAAAATACATACTTTACTAGGATGGGCGATTCTTTTTAGGAATTCACTGATATAAAAAAAATGTAATGTGGTTTAAATCTACATGTTGGGGGCATTTAGATTTTTTTATTTAGACTTGTCATGTGATGTCGACGTCACATGACTTTGGCAATTATACTTGCAGTTTAGAGGTCATCTATAAATTTCAATATTGCAAGGGCATAACCAACTTAAAAATCTTAGTTGAATTTATAATCCTTTTCAACACTATTTGTAGTTTGTGAAAAGTGCTGCGAACCTATATAGATTCCCTTTTTTAATTGGTAATATTTAATTTGTTGGACAGCAGGTTGAATATTTTGTAATTACATGTAAAACAAATTTGTAATTAAAAAACGCTATTTTTCATGCAACGAAAACTTAATTGGTCAACACTCCATACACAATTAAGCTAACACATTTTCTGTTTCGTTTTAAATGGAAAAGCGTTTTCAAGATATGGTTACCTAATTAGCTTCTCTATACAGGAAACGATCAGCCGTATGTTAGGGATTTTAGAAGACATGGTCTTCGTTTTCGTGAATGATGCAGCATAACTTCCTCGGTCGCGAAATGTTGTTTGAAATATAAAAGTCACGGCTAACGCGCCCCGTACGAAACTCTTAACCGTTTTCCGGCCGGAGACGGATTCCAGTTAAGTGCTAGGGGTGTCCAGTCAACTTGTACACAAACCGAGTTGTACACAAACCAGGTCGTACACAGAAAGTCAACTCGTACACAAAGCAGAAGTCAACTCGTACACAAGACTTCTGTCATTCCTACATAGGTTTTCATATAGTGTAGAAAAGTGAGAAGTCAACTCGTACACAGAGATTTTTTTTGTACATTTCAATCTATTTTATAAATGCCTCTAATTGTACCATATGCGTAAATTGATTTTCCCCATTCCTGGTAATTAAATTTGAGGTGTCAATGTAGATAAAACGTTCTTTCGGTACCGACACACAGTTAGATTATTCTAGATTATAGTATTCTAACTAGTGCCAGTGATACATATATTTATATATATATATATATATTTATTTGACTTATGAATGATAAGTCTATTCTTTTATTTTGTGATTTTTTAAATTGTAAATAACAATTTTATTTTAATATATTTTAAACAACAAAATTGTGATACGTAAATTTAACATTTTAAAAATTATCTTCTTTCACCATTTTCATGCAAATAATATATGCATTCAAAAAAGACATGTACATATGAATATAATCAGATACATAAATATTTTGTTTATCATACATATCTTATAGTCTAATTATGAAGTCATAATTGTAATAAAACATTTGAAATTGAATAAGATTTTACATTTCTCACTTCACATTTATTAAAGGATTACAAATATGCTAATAATTAATATCAATGACGCAGCTTTTATTTAATTCCTAGTTTGTCCACAAACTTTACGGACAACCCTCGTTATATACAGTACTTTAGAAAGTTAGAAATTTTAGGACACCTTAACTTATATATATAGTTGTATATAGTATATGTGTTTTAGTGCCAATAAAGAATTGAATTGAATATAGTGTAGATAGTAAATACGATCGATATGAATACGATCGATATACATATCATCGGAATATTTTAATTGTATACTAGTATTGTATAATTGCATAGAATTTCCACAAAAAAACCCACCTCATCAAATAGAAAGTAAAACTTATAGGTTTGCTGCGGGATAAATACGCACAATGGTGCAGTTTAAGAAATGAACAAATTTGGAGGGTTTTTTATCCATAGAGGATTTCATAATTAACAGATACCAGATTAATTAGGAGCATCTTGTAATTTGCGTTTGTCGCAGATCAAAGAAACCGCGCTCGTGTTGGTTTAACAATAATTGTTTGAATTCTTGACTTGAGAAGCCAGGTTATTTAAATGTTAAACACTAAAATATTTATGAAAAAAAAATAATTAACACTTCTCTTCGACCTTATTCTATTTTTTCTTGGGTAAACTGTATTCATGTAAAAGTCATTCATATAAAAGTTGTATATATTTAACCAGTTGTAAATCAACAGCTAAATTGTTAAATCAAGTTTTGGTACAATATTTTTTATCTTTTAATTTCATGTGAAGGCAAGGCAGGACATTTTCAAATGTAAACATGTTTTGTAGTCATTGAATTTTAAAGAACTAAAAAATAAATGATATATAATTTGTATAATTTAATTTTTTTTGGTTTAATTCTTAAGTTTGTAAAAGTCTGAAACAACAATATCTGATACACTGTGATAAGTACATGTAGATTATGTAAACATTTATGCAAAATCCTCTCTAACCATTAGGCGGAATACCCCTTGCTAGTAGGGCGGAATACGCCTACATGAAGTTAGGCGGAATACGCCTTACAGGTTAGGCAGAATACGCATATTGTAAGTAAGGCAGAATACGCCTTGCAGGTTAGGCGGAATACGCCTTGCAGGTCAGGTGGAATACGCCTTGCAAGTTAGGCGGAATACGCCTTGCAGGTAATCCATCTTAGGAAAAGCGGAATACGCCTTAATTCATTTAAATATTTCGAGCCCTATCACGCCCTGACTCAACCTGGACTCCGTCTAATAAACCTTTTCGTGCTAACTCTCGCGCATGCGTATAACTACTTCCGCGAGGAAAGCGTCTTTGACAACATCATGGCTTCGCGCGACAATTTAAAGAAAGTAAACAAAACAGCGCTACAGAAAATGTGCAAAGACATTGGTTTCGATGTTAAAGGGAAAAAGAAGGAAGAGTTGGTAGATTTTCTCTTTACAAATGGTGTTCCAGTCCAGCATATCACCCCAGTAGTTGACCAAAATAGTAATCTTACCGGCTTGTTTCCAACATTAGATGATCAGGTGCAAGTGTGCAACAGTATCCTGCCCCCATTTAATCAAAGCATTTATACCACAGTGCCATATGCTCAGCTTCCCTGTCCAAGTTTTGCATACATTTACAATTTTATGGTTACTAGAGCCCGTGCATCATGTGCTGACAGAGGTGTCCAAAACTTCAAAGGAATGGACAGAGCCGTCAAACACTTTGAAGCTGGAGATGTGCATGATATACAAATCTCACAGGTATACAATCGTTCTTTCATGTAAATCTTGTTTATGTATTTATTTTTAATAATCTACATCTAACAGTAGCAAACAATCAAACATAATAATTATATACACTTCTTTTAATCAACTGTTCAAAAATATTTACAGGTAAATGAAGAAATTGTGTACATTAAAGCTTCATGTCTTGCATCTATGAAGAAGGACAGATACACTGTGTACTTATGCCTAACTGTAAACACCAAAGAAAGTACTGTGCAATATGCTTATTGTCAATGTCCCGTAGGGTAAGAAATTCTCATCATACTTCTTGTACTTTTAAATGTTTTATATCAGTGACTTTATGAGTTAATAAGAACTTACTTGGTACAAGTACCGGGTACTTGGTATCTTATTTAGATTCATTTTTTTACATATAGGTTAGCTCAGTCTTGCAGCCACATCGGAGGATTGCTGTTTGCATTAAATGGCAAGCATCGCTTAAAGTGCCCGAGTAGTGACGAGAGCTGCACTTCACAATTATGGCAATGGATTGTTCCCAGAAACTTAAATCAAAGTCCTAAGCTTATCAGTCAACTTTCCTTTGCAAAACCTCAACTGGAATCTGAACCGGAAAAGATGACCTCGCTTGACTTTGATCCAAGACATCCTCAAGACAGATGCTTTGATATGCAATATACTTTGAATCAACTTAAAGAGCTCAAAAAAGTTTTTCCCAACACTGGTATGTATATGTTTCCTCTTTACATGGCAATACCCGGATATTTTACATTAATCGTAAGGTAAAATTATTCACCTTATTCAACTTAACATTTTTATTAAACTAATACATGTAATATTTACATGTTATTATTAGTACATTCAAATTTCTTTTGTCAAAATTTGATTGTATGGTCATTAGCCGATAAGTCAATGTTTACATAAAAAAGGGGCAAATTGAAAGATTAAGTGAAATTTCACATTTGAGATTATACAGTTCTTCATATTTTAGGATTAACACACCTCTGGAATATACCAGATGATGTCCCAGATGTAGCCGAGGAAGTCACAATAAGTACTGAAGTTGATCCTCGAACACTAGAAATGGAAAAACTAGTGTTCAAACATGGAAATGGTAAGTACACATACTTATGTATATTAATATTTTTTCATAATTTCATTCTCAAATATTTCAAGGTTGTGAAGTGATATAGACATATATATATATCATTGAAACCTTAATAGCACCTAGTACCTATTTAATATTTATGTAGATTATATTATAAATCAAAACAACTTATATTTGTATTTTTGTCTTATGTATTCAGTACCTCCCCTCACCATAGAAAATGACTTGGTGCAATTCATTGAGTTCTCAACTCGAGGTCAAAGACTTTGTCCAGTGGCTTGACTTACACAGAGGCAGAATAACAAGTTCCATCTTTGGACAAGTTCTTAGGGCTGGAAGTAGTCCAAATAGTTTGATAAATAATATTATTGAAGGATCAAGTCTCCACAAGTGAGTAATTCATTGAAGTTCTAAAAACCAATTTGACACTAATTTCTTAGAAAATGAACTGCTTATATTGTTGTTATAAGTACAATAGAGCATTTTATTATTACCGTAAATCTGGAAATTTTTACGTTGATTTTATTTCGCGAATCTGGGTCAAAATGCTGTTGATGACCACTACTTTTTGAACATTTCCTTATAATTGTTGAATTATTTTTAAGAAAAATATATTTGCAAATGATATGAACTTGCAAATCTGCTAAAAATTTATCTACAGCAAAAATTGCCAGATTTACCTACCAAATGTGAATTAATGTTGTGAAAAACACTTAAAAGTAATTGCGATTGAGTAAGTAATCAATACTTTGAATAGATTTTTTTCCACACATTTCTATGCAAATACATGTACCGGTACCTATTCTTACAGATACAGTTCATTACCCCCTGCTGTGAAGTGGGGCCAGGATCATGAAAATGAAGCAAAACAGCAATACATTGCACTAAAATCAGTATTTGGAGATGTAGTGGTGGAGGAAACTGGCCTGACCTTGTGTGCTTCTCATTC